GCCACTTGCTAGAATGACTCTTGCAGAATGCAACGTGACCATAGCACCAACTCACGATACTGCACGCACATCGTCTTATCTACTCACTACCAATTACCACTGCAATCGCTTGTCACTCATTCTGCCTCAGTTCTAGTAGCGGTGACGCATGCGAGCCTCAGTCGTTTACACTCTTTCTTCCCGGCGTGTCGGACCGCAGCTAACAATTATCTCCGTGCGCATTTCATTCTCAGCAATAGCCTAGCCTCCCCGGCGTATACGACCCATCTGCTGTCCTTAACATCAATCAATTCATTCATGGATGTAGAAGACTCGAAACAACTTCAGAAATAATCACGACGAAAATTTTAACAAATTTACGCAATAACAACAAGACACGAAAACAACGAGTAAACACAATGAATCCAAAAAACACCAATTGATATGACACACCACACGTATATACAAATAGTACAAACAACCTCGGCGATCATGTCTTGGTGGAATTCCTTTGAAGAATCGCAGGACTTACAGCAGTACGCCTACATTCCTTTTCAGGTTGATGATGCAATTGGAAGTCGTCCGGACACAAACAGAATTAACAACAGCTAGATGACAGATGATATCAATTCAGTATATACAATATGAACATATGTACAAGATCATACACCAAGCACATTGGACTGCTCATTGATGCGCTACCCTTTGAAGAATTGTAGGACTTACAGCAGTACGCCTACAACCCTTCTCAGGTTGACGCCCTATGTTGGAAAATCATCGCAGAGTTCATTTGCTGGTTTCCTTTTATCAGCTATATCCTCAAATCTGAACGGTAACACGCTCATGTCATTGTATCGTAGAATATAGATGACCAACAAACACACGACATATCTCATCAACCAAGTGTAGAAACAGAGTAATTTACACCAAAGATAATAACATTCAAATAGTAACTTGAAACTAGAAATGCCTTTATTCGTGCAAGTCAATTTAACAATTACTCTCTCGTTTACACTTGGCTTATCCTCACTAAACTGACCATTGATATTCGTCCTTTCAAACGAACTGATACTAGCATAGTCATTGCACAAGATACTTGAGTTGATGGGCGTCTGTTTCATTGTGGATGACAGCACCAACGACGACTGATTCATATCAGTTGATGAAGTTAGCGGTGGATCAGAAGCTGTTGTTGTTCGGCTCTCAGATAGTTGTCCAACTGCAAGATTACCACCACTGCTGTCTTTCACTACTAGTTCGGGTTTAGCACTATCATCTGATGATAGGTGGGCTACATGCTGATCAATTACACTGACTGTCTCACAAGTATGCACACCTTCTGGAACTGCATCTGCGTTCAATTCTACTTCACGTTGTAGTTGTACAGAACCTTTATTTAACTTAGCAGTAGTAGGCATATCCCTCATCTCATAATGATCAACCAAAGACAACTGTGAAGTATCATGATCATTATCACGAATATTCACTTTACCGTCAAGTTCATCATTTTCAAACTCTTTAATAACAGAAGTAGACAATTTTGGTTCCTCCTCAAAAATCATTAAAGGTTTTATATCTTCACTCTGACTAGTTATACCTTGTAAACTTTTGGAGTCAGAACTGCACTCTGAAGCAGTAACTCTATTCTGTGACACTCTATTCAACAATGGCTTACCAGTTGCAACTACAGACTTCTTCACAACACCGTTATCGTCACACAATTCGGAGTCAGGTCTGGAGTTTACATTTAGCTTATCACTGAACTTGCTCACCGGTTCACAGTTCACTTCTGTATGCACCTCTTGCACACGTGTAAAACAAAACCGTGTTTGTCTTGCATCTTGTAACTTATCTGTTGAGGATGTACTACGAAACCTGTTACACTCACTAGGTCTATATGCATTACTAGACATCATGGTGACTTCTCGATATCCACCTCTCTGAGGCCTATTCGTCATCAATGATTGCGTTTTACCCTCAGACTGCTCTATTCTAGGGGTGAGATCTAATAGACTGGAAAACTTGCTCATAGATTGATTGACACTAGTATTTACCAGTTTCAGGATATCATCAAACTTTGGCTCGATACCCTCATCCTCCATACGGGAGCTCATCTTCACCCACTTCCTTTGCAGTCGAGTAGGTAGGCGTCTTGCTATTACTTCTAGTATAAAACTCGAGTTGAGGTCACTCATGCGATTCATCGAAATCATTCCATTCTTGTAAATTAGCAAATTATCTAAAAACTCAGTGAGTGCCTGGGAGTCATCCTGTAATTGACCACCATTACCCTTAACAGCCTCGAATAATTTCCCTACAATCATCGAAGGTCTTCCAAACCTTTGACGTAATATGCTCATAGCCTCGTAGTAGCCCTCTTTTGGCTTCATAAACTTACAGCACTGTATAGCTCTTGAAGCATCTCCAGTGCAATATCTCATCAAATACATTAACTTCAATTCATCATTTAATAAAAAACCACTCCACATGATCTCAAACTCCTTTACAAATTGTAAATAATCAGCCGGGTTTCCATCAAAACATCGTGGTTCAAATTTAGGGAGTTTGATGTTCCTATTATCCCTGAACGGCGAAACAGTAACATCCACCATGTCATACTTAACATCAGACACATCGTTACAATTAACACACAAGTCACCATGACTTACTTTCCTGTTTGCATCCAAGACACTCTGTCCCTTCTTTGACCCAGGCATTGTTGAACTTGACCCAATTCCAAAAACGTTCCAGATATTGCTTGTTCAAAGAGGACTTGACCGGCACCAGGAAAGATGAACGGTGACTATCCAAACTTTCACCAACTGTTTCAATCCGCCAGATCTGTTTCTATCGTCAGAAACTGTCAATCACGTCTCATAAACCGTTAATGCCCAGCTCTCGCTACGCTCGGGCCCACGCTGTTCCTTTGAGTTTTCAGAAACGCTTAGTTATAACGGACGAAAAAACCAAAACACCGATTGGCCGCTTGGTATTTCTTTATTGTTACACCAACATATAAAACTTATAACTGAACTAAGGTCTGTGAACAGATATTACAATAATAAATCGTTATATTACTTCTGACGATATTTTACTCTTCTTTGTGAACAGCGACCGATGAGACGATGACTGTCGTATTGATGCCTCCGCGAAAATCGGGGAAGTTCATTTTGAGCAAACAACCAAGAATTGATCGTTCAATCTTCAACTCCATTGACAACCACCAATGATCTTCCTGATTGTGGCAGACTGGATAATGCGACAGACAACGGGCAATGAGGAAACAGTCATAAAATGGACTCACACAAAAAACTTGGAGGATGTGGACTTCGCCGATGACATATGTCTGATTTCCCACAAACTAGAAGATATGCAAATGAAAAGCAACAAGCTGGCAGAAGAAACATCCAGAGAAGACAGGACTTCAGGTGGACATAGATAAAACAGAGGTGATGAAGATTCCCGGCCAACATCAACAACAACAACAGACAACAATCAGCCAGCATAAATGTGAGGAACCTGAAAGAAACAGCCTCCTTCACTTACCTAGGAAGCATCGTTTCAACTACAGGCGGACGGAACTGACGAGGATATCAAAGCCAGAATCGGAAAAACAAGACAAGCTTTCACAACTCTCAAGTCTGTGTGGAGGTCAACAGCACTCAGCATCAAAAATAAGATCCGGATTTTCAACTCCAGTGTGAAGTCAGCCAGCGCTACTATACGGATCAGAGACTTGGCCAGCGCGTCATAAAGAGCATCTCAAACAAACTACAGAGCTTCATTAACAGTTGTCTTCGCTCATTACTCAAGATCAGATGGCCGGCCAGAAAAGATCAGCAACAGGGATCTCTGGGAGCGAACCAATCAGGAAGTGATTGTGAAACAAATAGGCAGGAAGAAATGGAAGTGGGTTGGACTGGCCATACTCTGAGGAAACCATCAAGTGACATCACTAGACAAGCCATCACTCGAGTGGAACCCGAAAGGGAAGCGGCAAGTTTGTCGTCCAAGGGTGACTTGGAAAAGGTCATGTGAGGAGGAGATGAAAGCATGTGGACAGACCTGGAGCGGGGTGAAAAAGTTGTCAGAAAACAGAAGGCAATGGAGGTGCGCAGCTGAAGCCCTATGTTCCTCTAGGAACTAAAGTATACAATAATAATAATAAATGAATAATATGAAAGAGTGGAAAGAGTTCGCTAGTTGAGATCGAGGAAAAAAATGAGGCAGCACTTCAAATCCCTTTGAGTTGGATCGTGGAAGGAATTGGTGTCTGTTTTTTGTAAATGTCGCATTGTCACACGAGATAATGTGGACGCCCATCAAGCTACCTAGAAGTCACTTGCAGATTACAGTCACAGTCCTATATGAGGTTCTTAAGTGACAAAATATTCAACTCACTGCTGCTTCTTCCAGTCGTTATTTACCTCTGGCTATAACGCTATTCTTTATTTGCTCGATGTGCCTTATCCTACATTTTCTTCACTGTTTTGACATATTCTGGCTTCTTCGTACTCACCTAGGTTTTATTCTGCATTTCATCTTTCGTTTTTGAAAGACCGTCCACGAGCATAATATTTGGTATAACCAATCTGATCAAAAACCACCAACAATCCTTTACTGCCGTTCAAAACAAATATGTAGGTGCCAATTGCATTTACTATAGTTTTATAGGACGAATGAACTGATTTATTTTACTGCAGACTATTATATTACCCTTATCACACTTCACAAGCAAGTGCAGGTCTAGGAACTGGGCCAATTTTTTAAGTCTGTAAACATTTAAGCATTGATAATCGGATGATATCCTGAGATTGTATGAAGAAATCATATTGCTGTTGAGTACTGGTTCTCACACCGAGTCATAAACTCTTGGAACCGACTCCCAGAAGAAGTGATGTCTGCAACCTCAACTGGTTCGTTCAAGAAGGGTTTGAACAACCACAGAAATTTACTAGAAAGGGATTAACATAGGCCTTAAGCCTCCCATCCCTAACCAATAAATCTGAAATCTCTATTGGCAATTCTTTGACCTTGCCGCTGTTTACAGTTTTGTGCGCCACAATTTTAGTTAGAAGTGTTTATTCCAGTTACTGCTGAATGCTTACTGCATAGTTTGGGTAACGTAGTTTACCGGTCGTTAAACGTAGCAGTTATAGTGGAAATCTCTGCTGGTTATTCACCTGTTCCCAGGAAAGAATGTCATGTGACGTTTGGCAGCAGGTTTTAGCTCTTGACTCACGATATAGCATCGTTAGACCTGCAACAAAAACAAATGCAGAGTTGCGACAACTTTACCTTCGGAGAAGAAATCAATTAACAAGGGAAAAGTCAGCTTTGAGTGCTGGTGAGACATTTAAGCTTCCGAATTTGTCAAGTTGTACTCAGTATTCGGCTGAAACTTCTATGGCTTATTTTGCTAGCTATAGGAATATTCGCGAGCAGCTTCTGTTAACACTCTATGGTCCACCAAAGTCCATTAAGTGTCCATCACCGCAATCCAGTATTAATAAAGCCAAGAGCTTTGATGAAAGTACTAGACAGCCTTCGCTGCTAGACTACTCAATGGTTGGATCTGTTTGTGTAAGTCAGTTTTGTAAAGCTTTGATCACAAGTTAAACTGCACTCTCGATGTTTCTATTCATGCTTGCTGTTGCATAAATTGATGTCCTACCTTCATATATATATATATATATATCACCTGGCAAAGAGCCGGAGTAATTATTTGCAGGCCGATGGTTAAAATACTGCCATACTCTCAAATGGCCGAAAGCGGTAGTCATTGTTGCAGAAAATGCAAGTAAGATTCAGAGTTTTGTGTTGTGGAGAATATGAATATTTCGATATCTGTTGACTGTCATAATCATGTACTAAATTCTAACATTAACGCATTGACCATTCCACTGTATAGCCTTATTATAGAAGGAAAAGTAGTCTGTTAATCCTGGTAGCAATTATTTCTGTTATTAGTTTTCGTCTAAAATGATTCACCAAAGGATTTGTTGCCACTGTCCGCGATAACAAGATTTGGTCTCTAATCTTTCTAGGATAATCATGTATTAAGGTGAAAATTTTACAGCTGCAGATTTGAATGTTTTTCTTAAGACCCCTTAGATGATTTAGTAACTCTTAAGATGTCAAAACGCTTTCATTGATATTCTAATGACTAATTTTAAAATAACTAACCTCATATTGTAGTAATCGCTCCTAAGCACTTGTGATAGTACAGGTAAAATGTAACGAAAATATACAAAAATAATAATGATATGAAGTCTAGTGAACATTCATAATTCTGAAAATAAGAACAAATGGCAACACTAGCTCCATTGCGGACTGTTTGAGCCATGTCACAAATAATTTCTAACCATTGATTCTTATCATCTCAAATCGAGTCAGTGAGATCTTTAAGTAGACAAAAGCTTATTTCTTAGTTCAGGTTGAAACCAACCTGATTTTTATCTTATTAAGAATCCTTCTATTGGTCCAGGTTTCCTTTTATCATATGGTGGTACTATAGAGGCTCTAAATTTCTTATCATCATTGTGATTATTTCTATCACAACCTCTGTAGGTTACACCAATTTGGTTAGATCATAGGGACGTGTGAATTTGGTTGGATCTAGAATGTTAGAACCCTCTACGTCCAGTAATTTGGGGAAATTACTCATCACACAGTAGCGTGGATATGATAGACGTATTGGGAAGTAATACATTTAGGTAGGGAGGTGAGCTAGTCACTAGACCTTTTTTTACCGAGTCAGTAGCTTACATTATGAATGGCATCACGTGCATTTATATGAAAGTTGTGCCAAAAATGGTAGGGAGTGAAACTATAAAAAGCAAGTTAGAAAGTTGTTTGAATATATTGACGTGTTTATAACCAATACACTGTGCATGAAGAGTCATCCAGTTATCTCTATTAAAACAATTTGTGAATAAAACTTCGTAATGCGGAGTGGTGTTCTGTCACTGCTCATATTTTACTCACAAGTTGTCGTATGAAAGTAGACTATGTATTGGTAAGCTATTCAAATTAACTGGAATGTCTAAATACTAGCTCACTCGCAATCCTGTCTTTTGAATGACTTAGCATCATATCATCTACTCTTTGTGATTCTATCTGTTTTCATGGAAACCCAAATACTATCTGCACACTAACGACAGCTAACGTCATCAGTCATTAACTGATAATCCCTAAGTGTTCATTTCTTTGTTTTCGGTGTTATATTTGTTTGTTGACTTCTCCATTGGTTTGCAGAAAAATAGTAAATGTTTAGCATGCCCTTTAGCCTTCTGTAGACCACTTAATCAATCACTTTAAGAGAAAAGTTTCTGTAATCAAAATGAAAGCTTGGTAGAAACTACAGAGCTGCTTGAAAGTGATGGCAGAAAACCAAGTCTAATAAAAACCTATGTAATTTCCTACTCTTATCACAAGGAATGTGAATTATAATACTGACAATGAGCGGAGACTACTCTGACTAAATTAATTAATGCAATTTCCGTTTTTCTAAAAATCGTTTTAACTTCTCACGCATCACATTCTTAAGTTGTTTTTTACCAAGTAGAACTCTTCCGCAGAATGCGATATGACGCCTGAGAATTTATAGGTGTTAGTTCACATTAAGACATGAATTGCAGAGTGTAATTTTTAAGAACAAATGTAACTTTATCATTAGCATGCCATTGGCCAATTAGAATCGTGAAGTGGATTTACTAAATGACTGCATCTATTTCTCTCACTCATAAAGCTGATGTGGAATTCGACATTACTGTTGATGATATGTTGCTTAACGTCATAAATTTAATCTCGAAAAAGTTTAAATATCTAATGTTGCTGTTTTTTATTGCAATTTAGGATATAGCTTCAGAGTATGCAACACCTACAAAAAATGAGACTCTAAGTGAAAGTTATGCGTTTTCTGGTATTGAACATATATTCGACCATCATTCAGGTAATATAATACATTATTATATTAATTAGTAAAATACGATTTCATATAAGTAGCTCACGCTTTAATGTTGGTGAAAAGTATGCAATATGCAATAAAAGAAATTAATTGTAATTATATTAAAATAGTTTACACACTGATAGGTTTCCCATTTTTGTAGTATTTTGAGCAAAATTACTGCGGATGATCACAACAATATTTGGAGTTGTATTTTTATAATTCAAACGTTAATGAATAGCAATTGTGTTTGTAGTCTGTCTTTTGTTGGTTCATTTTTGTGTATACAGGGTGTTCAAAGCTGTTCACCCTTGTTACATGTATGCGGTGTGACCCAGTTAGTGTGTATTCATTGAGGTGATTCGACACAACTGTCAATAACCTGGAGTATTATCCTGGATACACAAAAATGAACCAATAGAAGACTGTCTACAAATATGTGATTTTTAAAAATTTTATATTCCTCTACGTTCCCAGTGTAACATTGGGCTTCGCACTAGAGCTTTGAAGTTCCGGTAGAAGTGGTGTATATTTTTACGAGATGGAGTTGCTACCTTCATGCATAACCTTCCCTCTTTACCAGTCTTATAATTGGTTGAGAGAGGTAAAGGAGTACGTCGGCCGGGATAGAACTCCGGATCCCAAGCGAGATTGGTAGGCAGTCTACCGTTGTGCCACCAACGCACTGCAATTATGTGATTACTACTCAAAAATGGTTTGATCACGTTCAGTAATTTCGCTCAAAATATTACCAAAATAAAAAGACTTATCACTGTGTGTAAACTACTGAAACATAAATAATTTAATCCGCTCATTTTTTCTAGTTTACTGCTATCCACGAAGATGGCTGATGAACTCCAGTCTAGGTATTTTCATGTGGTCACCCATTCTTAGCTACTCTTACAATTGTATTCATCGTCTGCACGTCGTGTGGTGTTTTCAGAAATACCGAGCCCATATAAATTGCAATCTGGATTTAATCCCGAGCGAACCTTACCCTCAAAAGCCCTATACCAATACTCAATAACAGACTATTTGTTTTAGTAAATATAAATGAGATAGTTAGGCCTCTAGAGATAACCTCATTTATCGAGAAAAATGTTATTTCTTTCAATATGGATACACTAATGTTTACTGATAACGTTTCAAGCACAATCTATTCCTCATAATCATATCAAGGTACTCACACAACTTTCTTGCTTCATTTATATACATCAGTAAAAGTTGACTAGACATATGAATAAAATCAATAAAAGTCTCGCTTAAAATAGAAAGAAAGATAAAGCACATTCCGAAATAATATTAGTGTTATCAATAAATACGAGTGTTGTTAGTCAACAAGATGGGAAATAAGATGTTCTTTTAGTAAGATAAGTAACTTGTTAGAATGTGAATTGAAATACATTTTAACATTATCCATTACCCTCTGATTTGACTGGTAATAATATCTTCCATATGTCTGGTATTTGCGTTGAGTCACTTCTGTTATATGTGTTGGATGTAGACTCGATGAACCAGTATTCGGTAATCAATCTCTCTCTCCGTCTACCTATGTTACTTTTTAGAATTCTAACTCTGTCCCACTCTGTTGTCTGGTAGTGTACTAATGTATGCAGTGCGATTGCTGAGTTTTCGTCTAAACTACTTATCTTGACGGGTCAATCATTCTAACCTCATCTAAACTCTTATGTTCTGATAACCTGATTGCTCCTGATCTACTAGTTTGACCTACGTAGTTGACCTAACTTAGTCATTGCAGGATATTTTGTAAATTATATTATTTTTTCTAATTGGGTCAACTGGGTCCTTTAACCTACAGAGCTCGTCTCTGAGTTTGTAGATTTAAATGCCACTGTAATTCCTGCTTTATAAAGAATCCTACGTAGGGTTTCAAACTTCCCCTCTTTATATGGTATAACTGTAGATGCCTTATATTCCTTGTTTTTTATATTATTAGTTTTACTACTATTTTTACTTTGCTTTTGGCCTTTTTGATCTGTCTAATGAATTTTTTCGGATAGTTACTTAATGCTAACGCCTCTTCTATCTCTTTCATTTCATCATTTGGGTCTAGTCAGTTTTTACTCATGGATGTAAATGAAGCAAGAAGGTTGTGTGAGTACCTTGATATGATTATGAGCAATTAATTGTACTCGAAACGTTATCAGTAAATATTAGTGCATACCACTGAAACGTTATCAATATAAATTTTATCCATAATGGAACGATACTCTACTACCATGCCCAAGTTTTATTCTTATATTAACGTTATTTCCTTTTTGTAATACCCGTCAACTATTTAGGAAAGTGGGTACTAAACAAGCTGTGGTAAGTGAAATGACACTTTAGGGGGGCAGACTTCTAAAATATTTGACATGGCAATTTAAGGACGACTTCAACCGGCTTACAGCTACACTACAAGTAAGTATCATACAGCCCAAGCATAAATGGGATGTACACATCGACCATACAACTGCTGGTGAGACTGCGAGCAGTTTTTAATCAAACAAATGCAAAACAGCATGATCTACTGGTTTAACTCCGGTGGTAATCAAGGATAACACTGATAATTTGGTTTGATTAACTAAGGTACTAACTAGTCAATAGTATCCCCAAATATTTCCATTAGGTCGGTGCAGATCTTTGTTTATATCAGTTAATCATAGATGAAGCAAATCTTCCTGTGATACCAATAGAGCTGTTACATGGACTAAAATAGTATTATTTACTGGGTGACGTTTCGAACACAATTTATTGTTCATAATCATATCAATTATAATCACAAACTACGAAACTTAAGTTTTATAGTTTTCTTCGTTCTCTCCTATTTGTCGTAGGGGTAGTAGAATTTTCCAGATATCTGGGACAGGTGTTGAGTCATTCCTAGTATATGCTAGCCTATGGTTCATAGTCATACGCAAAGAAATCAGGACTCAGGTGAAAAAAACTCGAAAAAGTCATTTAGGTTTCAAAATCGGGTGGAGATTCACTGATTCAGACTTCGCTTTTCAACAAACTCTGAAAGAATTAGAATACTGGTGTCAGCATCTGCCATGTTTCTTGACCTGAACGTGACATTCGATACGTTTTATCAACAGGTTCTCTGATAGCATCTTGCTGTCAATGGAGTATAAAGAAAAGTACATTTTAATAATCAAGGCACTGTACTGGAATTGATTTTAGCTGTGTAGAAGCGTATAAAGAGTTGCCATATGAAGTGATGGTAACCAGTGGTGTTCGTTAGTGATTTCCATTGTCATTCTTATTTTATTTGATCATAGATATACTAATTTATGTAACCTTGGTATGAAGTATGACAGGGAACTACTTGCTACCAGGGAGAATCATTTTCCTGGCGTATGCAGGTGATACGTAGTGCTTTCAGATGAATACGCAGACAAAATCCAGTCTTCTAAGCATTCTGAGTATAATAACAGAAGACAAGGGCCAGGTAACAGATTGTTTATCAAGGAAATCAACACATATTTATAGATTTTCATGTACATATTATAGATTATTGTTAGCAGAAAAACACAGTCTTCTGATTGGTTGTTTCTCACAGAGAGTTAACCTTGCTTCTCTTTGTGGGTGTTTCTTGAATGTCAGATCATCTATATGTTAACTGTATCCGCCTACGCAAAGCCTTTGTTCTCATTTTCTCACGACCAATATTGGAGACATAAACATTGACGTAAACTACTGTCCACCGATTTTGGCGAACAGTCAGCTCTCACCACATGAGTATTTAAATAAAGCAAGAACAACAATAGTTTGTGTAGAATATTGTGCTACCATGATTTATTTCGTTAGCTTCTCATCAGCTGCCTACAACCCAAATAAATTTTTAAGTTTATGTACACAATGCAAATTTTACATGATATCAGTTTACAGGAGGTTCCGGAATCAGTGACACAGTGTTCAGAAAATTAGGCTTATATAGTTTTTACACAGGCAGTTCAAGTTTCAACTAAGCTAATGTATGCATAAAGGAGTTACGTAATAAAGACAACAGATGCTTAAGATGAGTGACTAACAAATTAAGTAAGTAATAAATGAGCAGTAATAAGTAAATGAGTAATAATAATAAGTAAGTAATAAATAAATTAAGTAACAGTGTACTGAGTTCAACTGAAATTAAAGAAACAAAAGACAAGCATTCTGAGTATGTTCGATATAATATTCTCTCTCTCAAATGTAAGATGATGTTACAGGGCTGGTTTGCACTGATTCTTATGCAAGGTTATGTAGTAAAATGGTTGAATGTGTTTTCTCCTTCACTCATTTGGGTAGTTGCATCTGCTTTAATTAACTAAATCTAGGAACATATACAAAAGGCTTGTTTGCCAATTGTCAACAATGATTATCTGTGGTACAGGAATAAAAAAAACATGTACTGTACAACAGTTCTCTTTGTCCTACTCTACTGCTATGCAATAGTTGTTGAAAGAGGGAGATACGGAACGGCTTGTGGTGTATCCATTCAACCTTTCGTGTTAGATAGTGATCAGTAATAAGGGAGCCCTAGGCGATCAGATAAAGTCAATGGACGGTTTTGTAAAGTCTTATTGATTCAAGTAGCTAAGGCATATGTCACGTATACAGAAACCATCGCTCTCCAGACCACTTTTTAGTCTATGCAGTTAGTTGGATAGTGCCACGTCCATACTTAACTTTAGACTCAAGCTGTCTTTGAATAACAATGTTCGTAGTAAAACAAATAGACAGTCAGGTCTCAGGGGTAATTTTTCCTCTAACTTTCTCTAATTAATTTAAGACAATAGGGAAGTGCTGTACTGTTTAAGATTAGACCATGTTCATCGGTGGATATTAACATCTCCATTTATCTAGTTGCTTGTAGTTAAATATTCATAAAGATATATTTTACGTGGGTTTCACTATACTGATGATTGTTACCAAGCTCTTAAAAACATTATGGATCTCTAGTCCAAATTGCACACTCCCGTATTGATGAAATGCGTTTAAATAAATTTCCCGCTAGCTTAAGG